CCACACCAACCTGCAGAGAAGCTTAAACCTGTATGGTTTCTCAGAGATTCAGACCCTACATCTGTCTCCCCCATCTCTGCACTCCAAGGCCATTCCAGGCATTCTACTGCCCCCAATCCCTCCCTCAGAAAGAAGAAGTAGGTAGTCAGAAACAGAATACCTATCTATTCCTCTTATGAAGATTCATCTGACATGGATGGATTCATGATCAGCAAATCTTACAAAGCCACATCAAAGAGACAGAAGACCCCTCCTCTGACTCAACTGGAACATGAACTGCTTGTTGAATCTCTCTCATCTGTCCAAGAACATCACCCCTTGCCTAAGGGAAGAGGTCTAGAGATGCCTCCATCTGATGGACACCAGAATAACATTCCTTTCAACAAAATTGTTGAATCTGCAGAAGACTTTGGTGGACAAATCCTCCAAGGCATGGACAAGTTGATAGAGATCAATGATAAACACTATGGGCACCTTGCTCATGTGAATGACAATCTCAATTCGGGAATGCAGTTCATATCTGATCGTTTTGAGAACCTCACAGGAACACTCAACAACTTCATAGCCTCCTCCTCTGCCAGAACAGATGTCCTGTCAACAGAAGTGGTAGGTATCCACAAAACCCTCTCTATCTTTCAACAGACTCTCCTAGATCAAGGACATGCAATCAACACTATCTCAGAGCATCTTGAGGCTCTGAAGAAATCTGATGCCAGAACAGAGAGGCAACTGATCTCTATTGAGGAAATGTGCAGAGCTCACCAAGAACAAGCTCAAGCTCTCCTGACAGAGACAGATATCAGAAGATGGTGCTGCTTGAAGCCAATAACAAGGACATCTTTTCTGCCATTCAGAAGCAGCAAGGTCTCATTGAAGGCCTTACCTCTGTCACTCAGACTCTACCAGAGGCCCTTGAGCAGATAGCCTCCACTCAGGCCTCAGAGTTTCAGAAAATAAGCCTGATGATAGAAGATCTGCATGATGCCAAAAAGGGGGAAGAGGACCCTCAACAGACTAGGCCTCGATCCCACAGAACTCCTGCTAGGGCACCCTCCTCTGCTGAGCCTACAGTGGATCCGGCTCCCTACTTTGAAGCTGCCCTACAGAAGAAGAGAGCAGCAGGCATACCTAGACCCCCATCTCCAGTAAAGAAAGGCACCAAGAAGAAGAAAGTCTTTAATTTCACTGAATGGAGATTGGGTGGATCTCAGAGAATTGACAGAGCTCAATTTGAAGATATGAAGGCCAAAATGACTCCCACCCAACAACAGCACCTCTATTTGGACAAAGATGGTGTTGTGAGAGTTAGGTATGGGGGATCCTTAGAAGAAGCTGAAGAATGGTATAAGAAGAACATTGTCCCAGGCAAGACAATACATGAAGGTGTTCTCAGCTATCTGGACTGCAAGCTTTCTCCCATTTGGGCATCTTATCAAATCTCTTGCAACCTTTCCAAGATCAGAGCAGAAATCAATGAAGAACTGGTCAGGCTTCAAAGATTGGAAGAAGAAGCTCTACAAGCAGCTAATTTGGAGAATGTGTAAGCATTATCTCTGTAAATCTTATCTAATAAAATCACATCTCTGCCTTCTTACTTTGAAGTGCTTTTCCTCAATTCCTGTCTTTTTGCCTTCTACTTGTGTTTGCTTATTTCATTTATATTCTGCTATCTGAATGTACTGTACTCTTACTACTTTCCTATGCCAAGTTGCCCACCAAGATTTTAATGGAAGTTTTTAAACTTTAATCTTTCTTTATGGTGAAGGCACTTCTCTGGAAATAGTTAAAGGGTTTTGGCATCATCAAAAAGGGGGAAATTGTAAGGAATATTTGTATTTAGATTTTGATGATGCTAGATTAATTAGGACTTTAGAGTACCCCTTTTCAGACTTAATGTATTAGAATTTTCATTTGTAAAGTTCTTAGTTTAATCGACTTGGCAGAATGCCTTCAGAGCAGAAGACCTTCTGAGCAGAAGGGCTCCAAGAGCAGAAGACCCTCGTAAGGCATTATTGAAACAAAGGACCTTTGGTTCTCTGCTCCAGAACAGAAGACCTCAGGGTCTTTGTTAGCCTTTACTCTGACAGAAACCCTTCTGGGTCTCTGTTGGATATATTCTCAACAGAAGTGCTCCAGACCTCCTCTGTTCAACTCTCAGTTAAAGACACCAGAAGATCTGACACTTAGAAGAATTCCACAGAACCGGGAAGTCAACTAAAAGATTCCTTCAACGGCTAGGAGTATTGAACGGAAAAGCTACAGTACGCGCATTAAATGCTCATTTAATGCACCCCATGCTCCGTAGAGTAATTGCAGATGATTGGCCGCAATGTCAGGAATACTTTATCCCAAAATAGTAACCCGCCAACTTTACCGGGCTCTACTGGTCAAGTCAACTGATCGCTCATTTAATGCAGTTGTCCTCCTACTCCTCCAACAGGAAGACAACCTCAGTATAAAAGATACACTACGAAGAACAACCGGATAACTTTGCAACTTTTGCTAACCATTGCTACAACTCTTCATACAAGAAATTCAAACGCCTAAAAGCAAAAAGCCTCCTTGAGATTAACACTTCATCATCCTCTACAAGAGAAGGCAGAAGTTGGAAAAATACTTTTTCCAACTCAAGCAAAGTTCCAAGTGTTCTTCAACTCTTCAAGCTCATCACATACAAATCCTTTGTAACGAAGCTAGTTAGAGGAACCCCTGTGTTAACAGAAACTCTTCTTGCTACAAGAAGGACGTCCAAGTAACTGGAGTAGTGAAGTGGTGATACTTCCAGGAAGCTCAGTGAAAGGACCAGTCTTAAAGGAAGCCAGGCAGTGCATCCCAGGAGACATCTAGGCTTGAAGAAGACGTGGAGAGCTTCTTAAGTGCTAGGACTAAGGCGTTGTAAAAGGTCGTTTTTACAAGCTTAGTGGAACAGTAGATTAGAGGAACGAGTTGTTCCTTGAACCACTATAAAAATCCCTGGTGTCATTTACTTACTGCTTTAATATTTGCTCTTAGATAGAACTGTCTAACTCCTCAGACTTGGTATCTGTGTTCAGCAGAACTTGTCCTACGAGTTAACAGAAGGCCTACTGCCTTTGCTTCTCTGAGGCTAAATCAACAGAACCCCCTACCAGAACCCCATCCGCTGCCAGTCTGTTCTGTCAACAGAACAGACTATTCTGTAAAATCTGGTACTTAGTTTAAAAAACTAAAAACCAATACAGTCTATTCACCCCCCCCCTCTAGACTGTATCCAGTACAACCGGGACCAACACTGTTTTTGCAGTTCATCATGTGATGAACATCAACTGGGGACAGGTAATCATCAAGTCCCTAGTTGAATTTATCAAAAAGAAAGATAAGGAAATCTGTAACACCCCCAAATTTCCCACCCAAAACGTTGATATAATTGAAGTAAAACTTTTATTTATTAATAATGAAAATTTAAAGAAAGTACAGCGGAAGTCTTAAATAGGGAAATGGGTGTTACCGCCACATCCGGTCATCTCTCAACCGGATGCACAGGCAACTAAAACATAACAACTAATTTAATAAAAATAAAGTGTTTGTAAAGTAAATGTTTATTTCATGACTAGTATAACTAAGGCGACTTCTAATTCGCTCTCGGGCCATGCAAGCAATCATCAATCGATAAAATCATCCTCACCTGCACAAATAAAGTGCAGAAACAAAACAAGGAAAAGAAAACAAAAATTAGCTTTAGAGCTAAGTAAGTACTACCCAACCCCGTAAAATAATCATGTTTGACTAAAATAGATTTTTATATAATAATATATAAAAATACTCACACCATCGAAATTCTTTTCACTTTGATTTTTCTCAAAACTACTTCTTTATTAAAAATGCTCAACTTCTCTTTAAAACTTCATAATAACTCTTCTCCCTGATTTCCTCAAAAATGACTTCTTCTCTAACTTCCTAGTAATTTAGAAGGGCGGTGCTCAACCTTTCGGTAGAGCCCGGTGGACCGTGGTTACGGACGACCACCCCGAACAAGTGCCGGTACCACAACTGCTCTGTTGGAAACGAAATGACTACCTTAAGTGTGCACACCCCCTAAAAGGGATTCCAAGCCCCCCGAGTAGTAAGTCGTAACGAGTAGTCGGGACTCAGTCTACCAACTACCCCTGAATAAGATATTTTGAATGACTAGGGACTACTACTACCATAACTTCTTCTTAAAAGGGATCATCGATCCAAATATCACTTTAAACTCAAACTGTACTTCTTAGTAGTAGCAGACCTAATCACCCTCCACATTTATCCGGACGTGGAAAACCGACACCACGGATTTCTCCCGTGATGCTCACCTCTTATAAAAATGTAAATTTTATCTTCAATAAATAATACTTCAAAAATACTTCTCAATTTCTCTAAAAAGTCTTGAAGGTATTTAAAAATATTAAATACCCTAAAAGTACTTAATTTATATTTCTCAACTACCATATATATAATATCTCTTCAAAAATCACATACACAAAATTCAACAATTCACACTTATTCACATAATGCATAATAAGCATATAATACGAGGAAACAATTTTAGATTGGCAGAGAAACTTACTTCAAATCGCGATAAGTCATGAATGAAGCTTCTACCTCGATCTTCTCCAAATTCACCTTCTAAGATATTAAAATTCTAAAATTAGCTCTTTATTCTAGCTTTGCTATTTTACCCCATCTCTCTCGTGTTTAAGTACTGACTAATAAGGGTGAGATTAATCAGCTCACATATTACTCAAAAGCCCATTGAAAAATAATGTATCTATTTTAATTCCATCCCTTAATTCATTTTAGTTAATCTGCCCAATTAGATTTTATCTAATCATTTACTTTTATAATTTTATGTCCAGCACATCATTAGCACACAGCCCAATTTTTGTTATTAAACTAGCAGCCCAATTATTATATAGATACGGAGCATGCATATTACGTACAGATACTGTAGCTTCATCTTCGTCCTCTTCGTCTGTCAAACGCAGGGAGCACAGGTGTACCCTCTTCGTCGACGGTGATGGAGACGGCGGAAAATCCAGCGGCCCCTCCTGTACAATAAATTCTGGCGGTGACGCAGAACGGAGTGGCTCAGTCCTCCTCTCCGGCGTGCAAAACAGTACGGCAACGACTCCGGCTTCCCTCTTCAGCGGTGTACACTATCTAGCGACACAGTCCGGTGATTCCCTGATGGTACGGTGTAGTCTGCTGGCAGCACCCTTCCCCAGAGTGGCGGTGTGCTTCTCCTTAGCGGAATCGCAGACTAACTCCGGCGAAGTCATGAAGGTCTCCTCCCTCCGGCATGAGCGCAGTCCGGCGAGCATATGGCTATGGTTCTCCGGCGTTCATACCTGTTCTGCGGCTAGCTGATGTAGTTGGTGGCGGCGATCCGATATGGTGGGTGGCGGCGATGACTTCGGCTGGCCTTTCCTCTTCCTTTCTTTCCCTCTCTCACGCTCCGTTTTTGTTCCTCTCGTTTCTTGCAGGTTGTTGCTCCCATGATATACAACGCATATATATATATATATATATATATATATATATATATATATATATATATATATATATATATATATATATATATATATATATATATATATATATATATATATATATATATTTGTATGCATACGGCGGCAGGGTGTATTGTATATGTATGTAGTTACGTATGTAGGCGGCGGTGAGGAGGGTTTAGGGTTCGAAGGTATATATATATATATATATATATATATATATATATATATATATATATATATATATCAACCGAAGCGAAGATATTAGAATTTCCGTTTCTTTTTCATGCCTTAGCTGATTTCCACGTTACATACCTTCTTTTATTTTGTTATTACCATTTCCGTTGCTTGCTTCATTTGAAACTGACGTTACGCATGGGTGTATAATATTTAGGTAGGTATATATAGAAGGTCAATCCTTATGCATAATGGTAGTTTTAATAGTTCCCTTTAAATTTAGATTTCAATTTGATAAAACTAAAAAAAAAAACGTACTGCGTACATCTTGGTATTATTTTGAAGGCATATCATTACGTCACTTTTGTAATAAAAATGTTATTCTTTTTATTGAGACGTTTTTATTTGACTAAAAAGGTCGTAAATGTTAAAGTTTTATCTGATTAGAATGTTACAACTGTTGAATTTTTGTCTGACTCAATTAATCATTAAAATGTCACTTCTGCAATATTTTATGATTTATCTGGCTAAAAATTATTTTTATTTTTTATTTAAATTTTTGGAGTGTCACATTCTACCCCCCTTAAAAATGTGCTTCGTCCCGGAAGCACTTCACTTACTCAAAGAAGGTTACGTTACAAGTTATGCAATAGAAGTGTGCGTCTTTAGCGAAATAGTTCTTCTCACGCTTTTCACATTTGTTGTTCTGATCCAGGATCTCCCCCGTAACTGATTTAGCTTGTGCCGTTCGCTTCCCCATTTGGCTTCCTCGTTGACGCTCAGATATCGCTATACGATAGTGGTTAGCAACTTTAGCGTAAGCCTCGTTCAGCGTTCGGTATTCGCAAATAGCCGTCCAGGTCTCAAAATTTTTATCGCTTATAAACTTCCTAGAGTTACTAATTTCACCGGAAATGGCGTATGTGCAAATCGTGTGAGCTCCATGAATTTGGCGTAGCATTCTTGGCCGGGTCATACATTCTTGCTTCATGTGTAAGAATCTTCATACTTCGTAGCTTCCATGTGCTCTAGGTTAGAATATTTCTCGCATGGCTTCGTAAACGTCCCTCGAGAAAAGTCGGATTGTTGATGAAATGCTGTCATGGCCCACCATTTATTCGCCTCTTAACGTAGGTAGTACGCGACTATATCGATTCGTAGATCCGTGAGCGGGGCAATTATAGCGTAGAAGAGTTTGTCGAAGGTGCAAATTCATTCCCTAAGGACGAGAGAATTTTCTTGGCCTAAATAAGTTGGGGGATTACGCCCAACTACGCGTTCCGAAATATCATTGCGCTTGTTAAGACGATGTTGGCGTTGATTTTAAAATAGCATATTTGCGACGGTCTGGATGTGTTGAGCAAATTGTCCCAAACCTTGATTCGGCTTCGCTTTCGTCGATGTGACATCATTATCTTTCACGTTGTGCCTCGCAGGCATCATTGTCTTCTTGAAAAGATTGTGATACGAATAAGATCGAGTGCTACTCGTAATTATACCACCTTAACTAATAACTTCACTTAATCAAGCAAACACATAATGCATAGTTCCTCTATAAGTCCAAGGTCATCCTTAAATAAGTTAGTAAGGATATATCCAAAACCAAAATAATATCTCAAACAATTCAAAAGAACCATATACTCAACCAAAACCAAAATATGTATAGCCTTGAATGTATTGCCGTTTAAGGAATACCTAGCACCATAATACATTCTTCGTATATAGTGGTAGTATACTGATATTACCATGTGTAGTGTAGTAGCTCTAAAAAGTCAACCTCTACCTAATGCTACGTATAAATGTATGCATAATTATACTTAATAATTTAAACTTCAATTGTAACATAATATTAATAGACACTTTTTTTTTGGAGGTCAAATTTGCTAAAATGTCACTTTTATAAAAATTTACGCGTCAAAGATTGACAAAACGTCACTTTTGTCATATTTTAATTTTTCTTTTTCCTAATTCGTAAATTTAACTATTTATTTTACTGAAATTAACTGTTTTAACTATTTTATGTTATTTAAATTTTTCTGAGTGTCACATTCTCACTCCCTTAAAGTATGCTTCGTCCTCGAAGCACAACCCTAAATGTTTCTCAAGAATAACTTTATTCTATATTCTTCACAATTTAGAAAATATCTAGTAGGTCCTAGAGTTCTTCTCTAGACTTTACCAATCTCTACTACAAAACCACAAAAGCACATACTATAAAACAAGACAATAGATGCATACTAAGAAAACAGAAATAAAGAAAAACACAATTCAGGAAATCTCACGACCTCACCGCGTTCCTAATAGGTCTTTTTCTAGTCATTTTCATTTCCTAGTTTTTTTTTTATATAATAGAAGTATTTTCAAAAATTGTTTAAAAATCTTTTTCGAAAAACGTTTTCAAAAATGCTCTGATACCAATTTGTAACACCCCCAAATTTCCCACCCAAAACGTTGATATAATTGAAGTAAAACTTTTATTTATTGATAATGAAAATTTAAAGAAAGTACAGCGGAAGTCTTAAATAGGGAAATGGGTGTTACCGCCACATCCGGTCATCTCTCAACCGGATGCACAGGCAACTAAAACATAACAACTAATTTAATAAAAATAAAGTGTTTGTAAAGTAAATGTTTATTTCATGACTAGTATAACTAAGGCGACTTCTAATTCGCTCTCGGGCCATGCAAGCAATCATCAATCGATAAAATCATCCTCACCTGCACAAATAAAGTGCAGAAACAAAACAAGGAAAAGAAAACAAAAATTAGCTTTAGAGCTAAGTAAATACTACCCAACCCCGTAAAATAATCATGTTTGACTAAAATAGATTTTTATATAATAATATATAAAACTACTCACACCATCGAAATTCTTTTCACTTTGATTTTTCTCAAAACTACTTCTTTATTAAAAATGCTCAACTTCTCTTTAAAACTTCATAATAACTCTTCTCCCTGATTTCCTCAAAAATCACTTCTTCTCTAACTTCCTAGTAATTTAGAAGGGCGGTGCTCAACATTTCGGTAGAGCCCGGTGGACCGTGGTTACGGACGACCACCCCGAACAAGTGCCGGTACCACAACTGCTCTGTTGGAAACGAAACGACTACCTTAAGTGTGCACACCCCCTAAAAGGGATTCCAAGCCCCCCGAGTAGTAAGTCGTAACGAGTAGTCGGGACTCAGTCTACCAACTACCCCTGAATAAGATATTTTGAATGACTAGGGACTACTACTACCATAACTTCTTCTTAAAAGGGATCATCGATCCAAATATCACTTTAAACTCAAACTGTACTTCTTAGTAGTAGTAGACCTAATCACCCTCCACATTTATCCGAACGTGGAAAACCGACACCACGGATTTCTCCCGTGATGCTCACCTCTTATAAAAATGTAAATTTTATCTTCAATAAATAATACTTCAAAAATACTTCTCAATTTCTCTAAAAAGTCTTGAAGGTATTTAAAAATATTAAATACCCTAAAAGTACTTAATTTATATTTCTCAACTACCATATATATAATATCTCTTCAAAAATCACATACACAAAATTCAACAATTCACACTTATTCACATAATGCATAATAAGCATATAATACGAGGAAACAATTTTAGATTGGCAGAGAAACTTACTTCAAATCGCGATAAGTCATGAATGAAGCTTCTACCTCGATCTTCTCCAAATTCACCTTCTAAGATATTAAAATTCTAAAATTAGCTCTTTATTCTAGCTTTGCTATTTTACCCCATCTCTCTTGTGTTTAAGTACTGACTAATAAGGGTGAGATTAATCGGCTCACATATTACTCAAAAGCCCATTGAAAAATAATGTATCTATTTTAATTCCATCCCTTAATTCATTTTAGTTAATCTGCCCAATTAGATTTTATCTAATCATTTACTTTTATAATTTTATGTCCAGCACATCATTAGCACACGGCCCAATTTTTGTTATTAAACTAGCAGCCCAATTATTATATAGATACGGAGCATGCATATTACGTACAGATACTGTAGCTTCATCTTCGTCCTCTTCGTCTGTCAAACGCAGGGAGCACAGGTGTACCCTCTTCGTCGACGGTGATGGAGACGGCGGAAAATCCAGCGGCCCCTCCTGTACAATAAATTCTGGCGGTGACGCAGAACGGAGTGGCTCAGTCCTCCTCTCCGGCGTGCAAAACAGTACGGCAACGACTCCGGCTTCCCTCTTCAGCGGTGTACACTATCTAGCGACACAGTCCGGTGATTCCCTGATGGTACGGTGTAGTCTGCTGGCAGCACCCTTCCCCAGAGTGGCGGTGTGCTTCTCCTTAGCGGAATCGCAGACTAACTCCGGCGAAGTCATGAAGGTCTCCTCCCTCCGGCATGAACGCAGTCCGGCGAGCATATGGCTATGGTTCTCCGGCGTTCGTACCTGTTCTGCGGCTAGCTGATGTAGTTGGTGGCGGCGATCCGATATGGTGGGTGGCGGCGATGACTTCGGCTGGCCTTTCCTCTTCCTTTCTTTCCCTCTCTCACGCTCCGTTTTTGTTCCTCTCGTTTCTTGCAGGTTGTTGCTCCCATGATATACAACCAATATATATATATATATATATATATATATATATATATATATATATATATATATATATATATATATATATATATATATATATATATATATTTGTATGCATACGGCGGCAGGGTGTATTGTATATGTATGTAGTTACGTATGTAGGCGGCGGTGAGGAGGGTTTAGGGTTCGAAGGTATATATATATATATATATATATATATATATATATATATATCAACCGAAGCGAAGATA